TAATTATGCAAGAAGTTAAGTCAATTACTCCTAATAATACAGGTAAATGAGATCAAAACAGGTGGAGAAAAATAAATGAAAGTTTAAAAAATTTCTGTCCGCTTTTAGAGTCATGAAGCTTCGAGGAACTTTATGAACCCCGAGAGTGAAGCTGTGAACCCGTTGTTTATAAAGCCTCGATAGAAACCCAGTGAACCACGGCTAAGGGTTTGGGGGTTCCTTAAATCCATGAACCGTGATTGAACCTTATAAAGATTTAATACCACTTACGAATCCCGAATAAATCTTATGAACCCCGAATGGATCCCATGACCCACTGAATAACACTCATGAGGCCTCAGAATACTTAAGGAATCTCATGAGCCTTAATCAGAGGTTATGAAACCTTAATGAAGCTTTAATGAAGCCTCTCGTATTCTCACCTTCAATAAAGACAGGTCATGAAAACCTAATGACTTGAGAGAGAGAGAGAGAGAGAGGGGGGGGGGAGAAGAGAGAGTGAAAGAGAGTTAAACAACATTATAATACCCGGTAGAGTAATTAGTGGATAATGACAGATAATTTCTACCTTGGGAGGCGGGAAGAAAGTGGTTTTTTTTTTACTGTCTTTGGAAATATGACGGAAAATATTTTCTTCTGTGGGTCCGACTAACATACGTTACAGGTCACGTATCATTTTCCAGGTCACCTGTTATAGTTATAGGATGAAGACGCATTGCAGGTCACACGACGCAGGTGACACACCACCCCACAGGTCACACACCAGGTCATAGGTCACACACTGCAGGATTTAAGAGCCACAAATAGTATTCCTCTAGGACAGAATGTCACCATCAGTAAAGGACGGGTTGAGTTGGTGTACGGATATATGTGGCAGGTGTTTTCTCTCTCTCTCTCTCTCTCTCTCTCTCTCTTGGCAGGGAGTGAAGGCACGGCAAACGCACTTACATCACCTAAGTTTAGACTGTGCCTTTTATCTCACAACTTTGGTTTAATTTGATAAAGTTTTGATTCTAAGACGTTGAAGATTATGAAGTGATATATTTAAATCATTGTAGTTATTATCGAAGAAAATTATTAATTTTTCATGTTTTATATATGTTGTGGTTTAAGTTTTTAGGTTTAGTTTTATAAAACAAGATGATGGTGCACACACACACACACACACACACACACACATTCCAACACCTCACCTGCGGTGTTCCCCAGGGGACCAAGATGGGACCACTGTACTTCCTCATCCTGATCAACGACGCTCTATCGGACACTCCTCACAGGTGGAAGTACGTGGATGACTGCACTGTGGGGGTTACAGTGGACAACACCGCACCGGACTACTCATCGCTACAAGGCACCCTGGACAGGCTACAGGCATGGACTACGGAGAACAAGGTCACCATCAACCACACCAAAACCGTAGTCATGCACTTCAATACCGCCACCACTCCAGTGCAAGCCCCAACAGTCACAGTGGGTGCCCATCCTCTCCAGCTGGTGCAGTCTGCCAAACTCCTGGGTGTTACCATAGACCACAAACTGGACTGGAAGGCCCATGTAAACAACACAATCAAGGCAGCCTCGTACCGACTCTACATGCTACGACGACTCAGGTCACTTGGGACACCCACGCCAGAGCTGATGACTATCTACAACGCCTTTATTCTCCCCAAATTAACGTATGCGTCACCAGCCTGGTCGTCTTCTCTCAACTCCACCCAACAACGTCAGCTAGAGAAGGTACAGAAAAGGGCCTGCAGAATCATGCTCGGCGCAGACTACTCCGGCTACATCAACGCTCTCTCCACCCTGGAAATGCCATCCCTCAGTGACCTCCACCACCAAGCACTAGCAAGGTTTGGCAGTGGACTAATGCACCATCCTCGTCATCGCCACCTCCTGCCACCGGCAGTCCCCCGCCCACCTCGCGCAGTCCACCACTTCAACAAAATTCAGCCCATAAGAGCCCGCACCAATAGGTATAAGAATAGCACCATCCCATCTATTGTTAAAATAATAAACAACTCCTGATTTATGTACTGTACAGCCCTGTAAATGCATTAAACGCATACCATTGGCTAAATCACATGTAAGTTTGTATATTTTCAGCCACTGGCTGCAACTCTATTAATAAACCGTTTATTATAATTATTATTATTATTTACACACACACACACATACACACACACACACACGGGTTCTTATTATATAAAAGATTAAACGTTTGACTTAATTCTATCCCTTTAATTTTGTAATTTATAATGAAAATTTTTTCAATAGCCTTTAATTTTTATTCCTTGGCTTCTGTATACCTTGACAAACACAATACTGTACCTAACCTAACCTAACCGAACCTAACCTAACCTAACCTAACCTAACCTATGTAAAATTGTGCAAAGTTTCCTTCCCAGCTGAACAAGAGAAGTAACACGACACGCTAGTGATCAGCTGCTGAGTGCCACACGAGTAGTGCCTGTCCCTGGCTCCTGCTTAGGCTATAACACTCGCGTCCTTTACAGATCAGTAAAAAAAGGTTTATATATCTTACGGGTAAACTGGACATTAGATAAAAACTTTAAGAAATATGTGCAATTGATGTCCTGAAGAGAGCTCAGTATATCAGTGTCACAAAAATATGGCAGAAAGACTAACCATAAGTTCACTATTTTTTAGACGAGTGTGTGTGTGTGTGTTTGTGTGTGTGTGTGTGTGTGTGTGTGTGTGTGTGTGTGTCCCTGCAGTGAGTGTTGCATGACCTAGCGGGGCCAACAAACACCGCCGCCCCAGTTGGCTCACTGCCAAATGTGTGTGTGGGGGGGATCATCCTGCCCCCCCTTCCTCCTCCCCTTCCTCCCTCCCACTCCCCCTCCCCCTTTCCCTGTTCCCTTGTCTTCCACTCCTACTCCCCTCCTCCCTTCCCTTCCACTTCTTCCTCCACCTCTCTCCCAAATTCCCAAATATTCACAGTTGCATTCCGATGGTGAATTATAACACAGTGTGGTGAAGACGTGAGGCGGGGTACAGGTACAGCCAGCCGGGATCACCTATAATACAACAGGACGATATCGCTCAGACAACTTAGTGCATTAATCAGTATAAGTGAATTAGCGAAAAAAAGTACAGCACTAAATGTACCTCAACGTTTAAGTAGTAATACATTCCTGTACACTTATCGCGGTGAATACTTATGTAGTGTAGTGTAGTGTAGTGTAGTGTAGTGTAGTGTAGTGTAGTGTGGTGTAGTGTAGTGTAGTGTAGTGTAGTGTAGTGTAGTGTAGTGTGGTGTAGTGTAGTGTAGTGTAGTGTAGTGTAGTGTGGTGTGGTGTAGTGTAGTGTAGTGTAGTGTAGTGTAGTGTAGCGTAGTGTAGTGTAGTGTGGTGTGGTGTGGTGTAGTGTGGTGTAGTGTAGTGTAGTGTAGTGTAGTGTAGTGTAGTGTAGTGTGGTGTGGTGTGGTGTAGTGTGGTGTAGTTATGTAGTGTAGTGTAGTGTAGTGTAGTGTAGTGTAGTGTAGTGTAGTGTGGTGTAGTGTAGTGTAGTGTAGTGTAGTGTAGTGTAGTGTGGTGTGGTGTAGTGTAGTGTAGTGTAGTGTAGTGTAGTGTGGTGTGGTGTAGTGTAGTGTAGTGTAGTGTAGTGTGGTGTAGTGTAGTGTAGTGTAGTGTAGCGTAGTGTAGTGTAGTGTCGTAAATAAATTGTTTCCTTTAACACAATAAGAAATACAATTCATCATCGTGTAATAAGAACCAATTTCACACAACACGAGACGATATACATCCCATCAGAAAATAATAAAAGAATAACAACAAAATAATCCCTCATAAATTACTAACTTCAATAATGGCTCAACATTTAGTCCAAAAGTTATAATTAAATAACCAGTTGACAGAAGCATTACCAACCGTGGGACTGCACCTCACTACAATAGGTCATCCACGTTACGGTATTAAACATCATAATCAAGTCATGAGATAATATGATAAACCAGACAGAATAGTTTATGGTAATACTGTTGGTTAATGGTGAGTTGATGTATTGTACAGTCTCACCTCACCCCAAAAGTTGGTTAACTCTCCCAGCCAGCTATTGCTACACTGCCTGCTTCAAATGTTCGAAACTGTCTCAGTACCAACCAGAACATGAATCTGATACGAATGAATCTAAAGGTTCGAAGTAACAGACTCAAGTTCATGCATCTGAAGCAGGCGGTGCAGCAATAGCTGGCTGGGAGAGTTAACCAACTTTGGGGTGACACTGTACAACTGTCAAGTATAACATCCACTACTACTGATAGACTGATTAACATATGTCCTCACTAACCTAACCTAACCTAACCTAACCTAACCTAACCTCTAACCTAACCTCTAACCTAACCTAACCTAACCTAACCTAACCTAACCTGCATCAAATTGGAGACGATAGCATAATATATTCACTGTATAATTCCTTCACTATAGTCATCTCAGGTATATCGTCTAGGGCTGTTGTCACGTTCACAGTCACTGTTCCGCCTATCATCGATCTACCTGTCAAAGCTACTTCATTATCTACCTGAGAGAGAGACAGGTGGGGAGCGGCGCCATTTTGTAGAATTTTATAATTCACAGTAATACAGAAATCTTTGGTGACGTCAACCATGGCGGCCATATTGAAAAACAAAATTACATCGCAATTTTCAAGGGACCTTCTATATAAAATTAAACGAAACTCATATATAATGTATAATAAAACAAAAAATATATAAAATCATCGTTGGTATATACACACAGGATGAAAGAATATTATACGATACTTAACTGATTTACTGAACTCCAAATAAATCAGTAAACAACAGATATTATCCCATGTTATCGAGGACTCATAAGAACATCTACAGGAGAGTGGTCGTAGAGGCTGCCTGTGTGTGTCAGCCAAGATTAGAATAACACTACCAGAAGCTTTAGTGAGTGGCGAATGACTTTTAAGATCTTGAAAGTGTCTTGAAAGTAAGTGTCTTGAAAGTAAGTGTCTTAAAAGTAAGTGCCTTGGAAGTATAAGTGTCTTGGAAGTATAAGTGTCTTGAAAGTGTCTTGAAAGTAAGTGTCTTCAAAGTAAGTGTCTTCAAAGTAAGTGTCTTCAAAGTAAGTGTCTTCAAAGTAAGTGTCTTCAAAGTAAGTGTCTTCAAAGTAAGTGTCTTCAAAATGTCACACCCAACACTACTTTGAGAGAATCAGTCACTACTTGCTATCTTAAAATAATATCAAATCACATAATCTTTCCAATAATTAAAGACTCAAGATATCCTTTCTCTCTCATCACCTCTAAGTCCATAAATTACCAAACATTGTATAATTATATTTTACTATTCAAAGTAGTAACGCTGGTAGCTATATATAAAGAAATATATTCAACTTCACCAACACTTTTAAAGTTGATGTCGGCATTCCAATCATGACTGAAACTCGGATGTGTGTGCGCGCGCGTGTGTATGTATGTGTGTGTGTGTGTGTGTGTGTGTGTGTGTGTGTGTGTGTGTGTGTGTGTGTGTTTTAAGGAGGGGAAAAAAAAATAACTCACACCAGTTGAGTGAAAAAATAAACCTCGGGAGGTGATCATTCGGTTGGTCCTCCTCACCTGCACGTCAACACCCACAGCTCCACATTTAATCAGGTTTATTTCCTTGGCTGAGACTCAACTGTTGGGTGGTTAGGTTAGGGACGTGTTATTTTTTTTCTGTTTTTCGTTCGGTTTTTTTTTGGTGTTTGAATGTGTAATTGTGTGTGTGATGTGCTTAGGTTAAATATTTATACGTGTGAATGTTTGAGTGTGACAAGGTATATTATGTGAGCGGATGGACGATAATGACCAACGAGTGATGCTACAACATGAAGATTTAATCATTATAAGATGACATAAGACCTCACAACGTCACAGCACATCATCACATCACACCAAAACTTACTAAATAGTTACTCCATCAAGACACGATCCTTACCTTGAACGTAAACTGTACATACAATATATACCAAACCTAACCTAACCTAACCAAACCTAACCTAACCTAACAACAACTGCCTCGTATACAAATTTTCTAAAAGGAGAGAGAGAGAGAGAGAGAGAGAGAGAGAGAGAGAGAGAGAGATTAACTTACTTTTAACTTAATAACTTTGGTCTAACAGAATACTACTAAAGTTCTTACAGGAGACAGTAACAAGGTTTGTGGTCACCAGGGAGCCCTGAGTCGTGACCTGTATGACAACCACCTGCCACCGCCCGCCCACGACACTCACAATTACTGCCGCCCACGCTCACGCCCACGCCCACCTCCCAACAGTTAGTCCCTCATGCATGAACCCCTCGGTGAACCACTTCAGGTTAGGACTTGTAATATATTGAGCCGCGTTTTCTTCATACATACATACATACATACATACATACATACATACATAAAGACAGACATACATTCATACATACATACATACATACATAAAGACATACATACATACATAAAGACATACATACATACATACATACATACATACATACAAACATACATACACACATACATACATACATACACCTTAAAGTAGTTTGTCTTTGGGCTAGCTTACGTAGGTTTATGTCGTTTCGTTTAAATAATCCAAACACAGAGTCATTCAAGGTTATCCACGTGGAACCTTTTTTAACATATATAATAATTCTATGAGAGAAACATCAGGGTATTTTATAGTTCACAATTTCAACTCTTAATATTCCTGTGGATTTTTTTTTTAATATTTGATGAAAAAAAGAAAGATTTATAAAAGTGTTTTAGCCGCCGAATTTCATGGTCTAGGAATATCCGATTTTAAAGTTTACTAAAAATTTAATTATTTTTCACTTGACAAAATTATTTATATTTTTTTGTTAATTGTAAAAAATATAATGTTTGTGAATACTCTACAGAATTGAGCTACTGTAGTTAATTTTTTTTCTTCTGAATCTTACACATTTATACTGTATAGTGTGTCCTGTGATTCATAAAACACACACACACACACACACACACACACACACACACACACACACACACACACACACACACACACAATGAAAATATTTAAGAGGAGTTGGCCAGAGATATCTAAAGGGGACGAATGCTTAGGTAAAGGGTTTAACTCTTCTCCTGCCATCGCCTCTATACACTGTGGTCCAGCTTGGCGTAAAAATGGATGTTATATTTTGGACAACAAAGCCGGTTAGAAACAGTGAACGAAACGTGTACACTGTATTAAATATTTCTAAACCTGATATTGTGTGTGTGTGTGTGTGTGTGTGTGTGTGTGTGTGTGTGTGTGTGTGTGTGTTGTACCTCGGTATGGACAGCGGTAAACGAGCGGCAATACTGATATATTTATTCCCATTTAACGCAATATTAATGTATATGAATAAAATAACTAACTGTATTATTAAATTACAATTACCGAAGACGTTCACCTGATTGGTTGTCTCATTAGTCTCACAGGTAAAGTACTATAGGTGACCCAGCCAGTGTTTACATGGTATGGAATTTGTCTAAAAATAACAAAGAATACAACATAATTGATATTCAAAACAAAAGTAATAATTTGTCTTTTTTTTCCTTTTCTTCTCGTTTTACTGTCCGAGGAAAAGTGAGATACATAATTATTTAAAAGAGGAGGTTGAAATGTGATGCTTTAAAACCTGAGAGAGAGAGAGAGAGAGAGAGAGAGAGAGAGAGAGAGAGAGACCCCGCACGTGATGTTAGCTGTCAGGGTCTCTGTGCTCACTAAAATCCTCTGGTGATGGCGGAATAAAATATTAAAAGTGGCGACCAGTAGTGAAGGGGTTAGACTGCGGTGAAATATATACATAACCAGTAAAATATGTAGCTCGTGCATCTCTCCACCTGAGTACATATGAAAATCTTACTAAGATAAACTGCGCATTCAGAACCAATTAATATTTTGGTTATAAGCGCTAACCTAACCTAACCTAATTTATAATATCACTATTCTGGTTGTGTTATAGGACATGTAAACACAATTCCGACGCATCAAAACAAGTGTATTTACCTTGCTCTTGACACTGGCACTATGTAGTCATTCACCTCCAAAGGTAAACACGACATCTGTCCTCTGGTTACTACACTATTTATATCTCACATAAATATTAATAGACCGAACGATGAGCAATAATGTTTTAGGAGTGTAAACATCATGGCGGCGGTCACCATCCCTCGGTACCAAAGATTAACATTAACTCGGAAAAAATAACACAGGTAAGAGAGGATATGGTTCACCTGTTAATCTACGCTGGAGGTTGGGACGCTGGAGGTTGGGACGCTGGAGGTTGGGACGCTGGAGGTTAAGACGTGGGAGGTTGGGACGCTGGAGGTTGGGACGTTGGAGGTTGGGACGCTGGAGGTTGGGACACTGGAGGTTGGGACGCTGGGGTTGGGACTGGAGGCTGGGACGCTGGAGTGCTGGGACGCTGGGAGGTTGGGACGCTGGAGGTTGATGAGAGGGCTGGGACGCTGGAGGTTGGGACGCTGGAGGTGGGACGCTGGAGGTTGGGACGCTGGAGGCTGGGACGCTGGAGGTTGGGACGCTGGAGGTTGGGACGCTGGAGGTTGGGACGCTGGAGGTTAAGACGTGGGAGGTTGGGACGCTGGAGGTTGGGACGTTGGAGGTTGGGACGCTGGAGGTTAAGACGTGGGAGGTTGGGACGCTGGAGGTTAGGACGTTTTGTACACTGAGGCAAGACTTAAGACATACACATTTTTTTATTAAAAATTTATAATCATTTTAAGGGGAATTACGATCATAAATAACAATAACAATCACGTATTACATCATTTCGTTTTGTTTATGTTATTATGTATGTTATTTTTCTTATAAATTACAGGTTATTTTTAGGTTCAAAGAAATAACATTCAGGTCAGAACTTCAATGAGTCAGACACAGGCTATAATATGTCTCATAATTCAAAGAAATTATTCCTATTTTAGGTAAAATTTTAAAGTGCTGATTTTGTATTAGAACTACATACATACATACATACATACATACATACATACATACATACATACATACATACATACGAAAATGTGTGTGTGTGTGTGTGTGTGTGTGTGGGTCACTTAACACATGACATTGGTGGTAAATATATACAGTATAATGAAGCAGCGGAATGTGCGATACTGATCTGGAAAAAAAAATTAATATAAAATATCAAACAGAGATAAAATAAACTAATTACTAACTTGATATAATAAAGGCAATAAACATTTTATAAAATTTCTGTGAACGCTGACGATTATTCTTGAACCAATTCACTGTTGATGGCGGCGGACACACCCAACCTAACCTAACCAGCCCTAACCTAACCTAACCTAACCTGTAATTCGGACGGACCTGGTGACCTTGTGACACCAACATGGCGTTTTGACCCCCCAAGCCTGACACCTGGCCTAAATAACCCAACCTTGTTATTAACGTCACACTAAATCGTCCAAATCCGAAAATTACAACGAATCTTATATTTAACGAATTACGAAAACGTTAAGACGGGATGAGTGTGTGACGTGGGGACCAAGGGATAATTTGCTGATCATGAGACATAAACAACATTGAGACAGTGTAGGTATACTGCTTGTGGGAGAAGAATCCTTACAGAAAATGATTCTTACCCAAAAAGTGAATATTATCTACACTGTTACAGGTATCGATGTGTTCCTCGTTCTAATTAAGCTTCAGGTGTCTCCAGGTGTTGTAGCTCACCTGTGTACGAGAGATAATTAAACTATTTTTTTATAGCGCTTCGTGGTGTTTCCCTTCAGCTGTTTACGATTGCTTTTATAATGAAATGGACGGATCTAAACGCCAATATAATGTATATGTAGAGACTCTTATCTTCATCATACACATTCTTTACGTATTTAACAATGAATATACTTATTTACATACAGATAAACTTCCTGTGTATTTATAGTATTTAAAAATATACCAAATACAATCAAGAAATATACAATGCTCTATATAGAATTCGTTGGTCTTCTTCTCACTATCTAATGGTAGATCCTGCTGCCATATGTGACCAAGTCCCAGGTTGTTGATCTGACTTTCTGCCTCATTTACACACAATTGCAGAGTCTCAATTGTTTCTCTTACTTTGACAACACAACATGCTGAATATCGTTTCTCCTTATTATTTGATTCACAAACACCTGTCCTGTGCTATCCTCACCTGGGTAGGTTTTAATTAATGAAAAAATAAACACCCCGCGCCTCTGTGTTCGCAGTATATAAAGGTTAGTTGCTTATTCTATGTGAACACTGAATTGAACCCCGTGACGATCAAGTCTGAACATTGAACCTGAACCCAGTTGTACCGAACGTAATAAAAGATAAATATAAGTTATTCAGAAACTATTTATATATTTTTACAGCAAATTTCACGCTGCATTACACGTTCTCTCAATACGAATTTTCCGGTCGACCAAAACAATGAGATTATTTGAATTATCCCATTCTTTGGTGACCAGGTACAACATATATTAGATTACAGACTAAAAAGGTGTGTGTGTGTGTGTGTGTGTGTGTGTGTGTGTGTGTGTGTGTATGTGTGTGTGTGTGTGTGTGTGTGCCCCATTACTTGAGTTTTATGACTATATTTTTACCATTCATTCATATAAAACCGTGTGTGTATAGGGGGACGGAATGATGAGGCTATGACTGTATATATTCACCTGAGAACATTACCTGTCTCCCTACACTACACTACACTACACGAGGAAGGATCACCCATTACCAGGTCCTACACACGAGGAAGAATCACCCACTACCAGGTCCTACACACACACACACTCTAGGCTCCTGGACTCCACCACAACACACATTCTATAATCACATTCGGCGTCAGTAATTTTATTCCCTAATTTCAATCACAGTATTACAAACCCAATTTGGTGAACGTATAATGGGTCACTAATAACCAATTAAAAACTCCATTTACCTGGAAAAACTACCGTGTCTGAGTGTCACAGGTAACACATATACAAACAACCACATGAATACACGCACCTGTAACTGTAGGCCTATGTATATGTAAAACAATGTATATTATGTGATGTATGTATACACTTATCTCCTAAGGTGTAAACATACTTTTGCAGGATTTGATTATTAACATTTACACACACACACACACACACACACACACACACACACACACACACACACACACACACACACACACACACACACACACACACACGTTTACCTCTAGAATACACATATAACAAACTCTACATATATACAAGTATAAGAGACACAACCACGTGTATATTAACATAGGAAACTCATTATCACATACATACATACATACATACATACATACATACATACATACATACATACATACATACATCCATCCATCCATACATACATACATACATACATACATACATCCATACATACATACATACATACATACATACATACATACACATACATACATACATACATACATAGATACATCCATACATACATACATACATACATACATACAAATAGGTTCCATTCGTCATACAACTCAGTCTAAAGTTTTAGTTTTATCGTGAAGGTGAAAGCTACCTGACGTGTCCCTGAGGTAGGAAGAGGAGCGAAGAGGGGAAGAAGGAAAGGAGAAACGTAAAGGAAAAGGAAAGGCAGAAGGAAGGGAAAAGAGAAGGATAAAGGGAAGTAGGAAAAGAGAAAGGAAAGAGGAAAAGAGAAAAAGAAAGAAGGAAAGAAAGAAGGAAAGGTAAAAAGAATGTAAGAAAGGAGGAATGGAGAATGGTAAAGGAGAGGGAACTATCCAGAGGGCAGACAGTGGTGAGAGGAGGTGGAGGAGGGAGGTGGAGGAGGGAGGTGGAGGAGGTAGTGGTGGGGAGGTGGAGGAGGTAGTGGGAGTCGGCAGGATATGACACATGTCAGAACTTCAGTCATTTGCATGATGACATTCCTTGCAACCAGACCTACGTATGTGTGTGTGTGTGTGTGTGTGTGTGTAGAGGGAGGTTTCACATATAACGGACTCTCTGTACTCCCATTCTCATCGCATCTCAGTTCGACCCCCCAGGCTCCTACCTTTCCCCTACCTTCACACCTGTCAGGAATTAATGGCAGGTGTAGGCAGGTGTTTTTATTCGACTTTGTGATTTATTTTTATTTTTTGATTGGATATTATTCATGTTTTATCCTATTAAGTGTTTTACCTTTTTTTTTAACTCCCTGGTGATTGCTGGAACTTTTCTATTTAAATTACAAACATAATTTCCATCAACATATAACAAGCTTGAAATATTTACCCCATAAAGAGGTTAATTTATAATAGCAGCCAACAGGTGATAGTAACTCACATTAATAAAACAAAAAAGTGAACAATATACCACGTAATAAAGCTTTTATAAAATATTACCTTTTTTTATTTTCCTGGTCCATAAAGATTAAAAAAAAGTAAAAAAAAATATAGAAGAATTATGATGTTGTATTATTCATTTCATATTGTATTAATCTATTTACTGAGTGTTATACTATACCACTAAGACAGAGATTTGGAACAACAGAAAAAATTATTCCCTCTCAAAACAAAACATTAAGCCCAGGTAAACTCCCACTAATGAAAAGAATGATTAATATACAGTAAATTTATATATATATATTTACTAATACTAAAAGCAACTTACTGTATTGTGGATGAGAGAACCTTCAGAGTCAGCCCGGCACTCTTACCTGTAATAAGATACAACAGGTGAGTATATCATAGGTAGTGTTGGTCAGACTAGCATTGTATATACCGTCGACTTCTACACTAATATAGAAGCCAACAGGTGATAGTAACTCACATTAATAAAACAAAAAAGTGAACAATATACCACGTAATAAAGCTTTTATAAAATATTACCTTTCCTATTTACTTTTCCGATGGTCCAATAAAGATTAAAAAAAAGTAAAAAAAAATATAGAAGAATTATGATGTTGTATTATTCATTTCATATTGTATTAATCTATTTACTGAGTGTTATACTATACCACTAAGACAGAGATTTGGAACAACAGAAAAAATTATTCCCTCTCAAAACAAAACATTAAGCCCAGGTAAACTCCCACTAATGAAAAGAATGATTAATATACAGTAAATTTATATATATATATTTACTAATACTAAAAGCAACTTACTGTATTGTGGATGAGAGAACCTTCAGAGTCAGCCCGGCACTCTTACCTGTAATAAGATACAACAGGTGAGTATATCATAGGTAGTGTTGGTCAGACTAGCATTGTATATACCGTCGACTTCTACACTAATATCCAGCAAAGAATTATACCAAAATGCTTTATATGTCATGACAGGAGTTAATTTTTGTATTATATTTATATTTTTAATGTATTCTGATTGTTCTTGTATTATTTATTTATTTATTTAGTCATTTTGATTCGACATCAGGATTTTTGATCCCATGGCCGTTTGTCACCGTTAGCTCTCGATGCTATAGGAGGAACGAGAACGACAAGAGAAGGGCATATGGGGAGAGAATTCAAAAGATAAAGTGTTTACCTCTGGTGGGATAGATTACGCCAGACTCGCGGAGCTGATCTCCGAACAGAAGCAGCAGCCCAGAAGTTATGTCACAGCCTGGATGAGATGTCGATGCCTCAGGGGAACGAGAGCTTCTGCCCCTACTC